ATCCAAGCTGGGGCAGATTGTTGGGGTGCAGGAGGGGGTGCAGGCTCTGGGAGGGGGGTTGGGGTGCAGGCTCCTGCTGGGTGGCACTTACCTTCGGCAGCTCCTGGTTGGCAGTGCAGTGAGGTTAAGGCAAGCTCCTTGCCTGCCTTGGCCCCACACCACTCATGGAAGAGGCCAGCACACCCCGTGGCCCCTGGGCGGAGAGGATGTGGCTTTGCGCGCTGCCTTTCCCTGCAAGCACCGCCTCCGCAGCTCCCATTGACCAGAGTTCTCCATTACCGGCCAATGGGAGCTGCAGGGGTGGTGCTTGCAGGCAGGAGCAGCGCATGGAGATCCCTGCTCCTCCCGTCCCCCTCCCCGCCCCCCGGGGCTGGCTGGCTGCTTCCAGGTGTGGCGCAGGGCCAGAGCAAGCAGGGAGCCTGCCTTAGACCTGCTGCGCCACTGGACTTTTAGCGGCCAGAGATCGCGATCAGCTGTCAGAGGCTCCAGGATCGACCAGTCGATCGCAATCTACTGGTTGCTGACCACTGGTCTAGATAATACTTAGTCCTGTCTCAATGCAGAGGATTGGACTAGATGATCTGTTGAGCTCCCCTCTAGTCCTACATTTCTAGGATTCTAAAACATTTAAATAAGAAATAAAAATAAACAATAATACATAAAGTAAATCTGTACTGAAGCATGACTTGATATATTCATAAAATGAAAACTAAGACAAACATACAATGACAATACAAATCACAGTAAAGGATATAAGGCCTGATATTGCAAGTCTCATGGAAGTCCTCTTTAATTGCATGAGTAGCACCATTTACTTACATATTATCTCTTGCTTGAGTTCTAGTTGGAGGATATCACCTTCAATATCTAAGCACTTCACCTTCACCTTCAGTATCTAAGCACTAAGGGATACAATAAGATATCATGAATAGGGTGAAAATTTTTTTATTAAAAAGACATATTATAGTAGTAGTGAGTTATCTAACCATTTTGTGTCCAAACATCAGGTAGGTAGATAGCTCAATGCTAGCATTTATGCTTGCAATTAACTGTGCCCCAAATGGGAGAATGGGCTGAACCCTTTAAAAATGTGTCCCTTTTAAGGAGTAAAAATGGTTTTCAGCTGGTCTTAAAAACTTCAGCTTGATCCAGGGCTGTGTTGGAATTGTGCTCAGTACAGATGGAGGAGGGAAAAGGGTTAAGTTTGGGGGGAGAACAAAAGTGGACTTGCACCACTTTTTAAATTTCACCAAGATTGAGGCTAGCTGGGGACTGGGTTAGTTACTGGTGTAAACAAATACACAACATCTCTCTTTTCAGCTGTTTAATTTGGAGTTTTATCAGCATAAATCTAAAAGTGGAAACCCTCATTATCATGTTTATGTAACACCATCATAAATATGTATAAGGACTATGTTAAAGTCTGGCATAAATATGAAATAAAAGTATTTTAATTATCCTTGGCACTACTGAAATGTTAGAACTCTAAAAGATGGATGTAGTGCTCAGTGTTGCTCAGTGTCTGGGTTTCATTGCATATGTCACACTATATAGTGTGTTCTTGCTTGAAGTCCCAGATCATGGAGTTAAATGATTACCATAGAACCCCTATTTTATGAACTTTGGGGGTTGAGAAATTTGAAAAATTGAACACTTCAAAATTACAGTAGGTGCAGTGAGTAAGTTGCAATATGGTGCACTACATTGCTTTCTTCTTGCTTTCTTCAGTCCACTGCAAAGCAATTTCCAGTGCACTAAAGGCATTGAATGTGAGGGGATGTTGATTTGTTCTTCAACATCAGTTTCATTATGTGATTTCTCCCACTCCTGCAAAAATCTCAGCTCTCATTTAAAAAAAAATAAATTCTAGTCCTTGTAGAGCCAAGCCTGGATTCAATTATATGCTACAGGCTCAAAAACTAGAAGGTAAAGAATAAGAACTCCAAATTTATTATTTTTTAAAATGTCATGATTTTTAACTCATGATGTTTAGGGGCCTCACTCATGATTTTTCAATGTTTGGGGCTGGCTAAAACAGCATTTCTGGTCCATGTCACCCTAATAATAGAGCAAGCCTCTGCAGGGGCAACAGAGAACTCAGACCTTTCAGTTGGAAAGGAAATAGTGGTGGGGGAAGCTGTCAATTATTTCAAAATAAATAACAAATGTATTCCTGACATATAGCTTGGTATTTATTTCTGTGTTACTATGTTTGTACAGTGTCATCCTTAATTTAGTTTAATTTAGATGTGAAACAAACAGGAAACATTCTGCATATGAATATTTTTGTAATAGTTACAATGGTTTTAAAATATTATGGAATGTTAGGCTGATCTCTCTGCCATGTACATGATTTTAAATATTCAATATCTTACCTATTTCTAATTAAGTACAAAAGTGTGGGCCCAGTCCGTTAAGGCCTTATAGTGTGATTCTCCCCTCGTCCCCACACTCGCTTTAACAGGCATTCCATGCATGGAGATGCTATAGCATTGGGCTTTTTATAGTGATGTGTTTCTTACAATGTAGTTTTAAGAGTACTATGTTATAGGCATCTTTACACATTTGAAAGAAATAAGGTTCTAGGACAATATTTTGGCCTTGGATACTAGTTTGCAGGTCCACTGTGAGTCCTGAGGCGATATGTGAATCCAGAACATGTAACTTAATTTTTATAGCTGTTCTTATCATTCAAAAAATCCAAACAGATTTTCACAAAACTAGGTCCATCTTTAAAGTTGGGATGAGGTTGATAGTGGGATGCAGCGCTTTTTCAGTATTTCACATATGTTCTCCATCAGTAATGACTAAAACTTGATCCTACAAGCTGCCCTATGCCAACAGACCCTGCACATGCACAGAGGAACTTCTTGGATCAGGGCGTGGATGCCATTTGATAGCTATTAGGTGGCCTTTGTGAAACGATTTGGTTGTGTCAGTCTACTTTCTAGTGGTCAAGTGTTTGCATCATCAAAGCAGCACCACAAATGGCTGTAAGTTGTACCTTATCTGGCAGTTGCAGCAAGAAGACAGTGACTGAATAGGCACCTAACTACCCTCTTATTCCTGGAAGACATGTAGGCAGAGAAGAGCAGGGACACTTGCAGTAATGCTGCTCGTTGTCATACCTGCTCTGTAGACGGGAGGCTGTCAATCCAGTACCTTTTGCAAACGATAAACTCATTTATGAATCTTCTTATTTAAAGAAGGAAAATCATTTTTAGACTGCAACATGTCTTCTCAAGCTTCACTACAGAGTGACGTTTTACAGCTTAATTATAAGCTCCTGCTAATAGGGTTTTACAGTGTAAATGCTGACACAGCCTTAACTTTAGTGACATGAATGGTTCTGCTATGTTAATGATTGAAGACCAGAACCATGTAATAAAATATGCTTTTACCCTCTGTTTCTTTTCTCAGGCCAGGAGCACAGGTTTATATTTATCTGTGAAGTGCCATAGTACACATGATGCTGCACAAATAATAAATATCAGTTGACAACTTCAAAAATGGCTCCCTTATAAGAAGCTGTTTTGAATCCTTCTTCCCCCCAGAATTACCTCTCTAGTTGTATCTGTGTTGGTTGGTGTATTCCTTCACAGAGGTTCCTTCATGCAGAATTTCGAGATGGAATGAGATGAGGCTTAACAAACTATTTGCTGTTCTACTTTTAGACTGTTAATGACATATAAAATACAGGATATGGCGAAATCACTGCCTTTTTTGGGGCAGGAGGATAGAGTGGCAACAGGAGATGAAGGATTGATTGAGATTGTTATTGCTGTTGCAGTCTTCCTTAGTCTGAGCATGCATGCTTAATCCACATATATGTATGTGAATGTGCACGTTCTTTTGGGAGTCTGCTTGGGCAATGAAGGATCTGATAACTTTCCAGGCTCAACTGTTTACAGTACATGTAGCTTGCTAGGCAATGCTGCAGTTGCATAGTTAGAAGTCTGAGTGAGGTGATTGAATGTCTTGTGGACGCTTTCAATGTTGGATGCTGTCCTTGGCTTGAGTAGCGAGATGTTGGCATTGATAACTAATGGGGCCATCTCACTGTTGGCTCAGGAACTTGGAGCAATCAGCATGCGGTTTGAGGGCTTGGTAAAGACTGGATTGTGATATGGCTCTGAATCTCCACTGAGATCTGGATTATTCTGGTGGACTAGGGGAAGCTGTATAAGTACTAAATTTAGATGGTAAAACTGGGAATTAAACCTGCAAAAATTAGTTGGGTCCAGCAAGATACAGGTGCCCATTTAGAGTTTTTGCAGTTTTCTGGCACCAGGATGTGTTGGGGTCCAGATTATTTTGATGTACTAGCAGAAGGTAGTTCTTTTGATGGCCCAATTTCTGGGTTTATGGCCAAAGTTTGGTGGGATCGAGGTGCTAGATCTGGGTTTTTGCAGTGTTGTTATAGTGGAGCTCATCAGGGTCTAGATATTTTTTGAGATAATAGTAATGGCTACAGATGTGCTCTTTAAAACAGTAGAATTTAGAGGATTGCAGCCAAAATCTGGCAGGATCCTCTTGTAAATCATGAGTGGTGTTTTTTTGCAGTGCTGTTGTACAAGGATGCTTTAGGTTCTGGCTTTTTTTCTTTTTCTTGGAGTAGGAACAACTGAACTGGTTCTTTACTTAAGTAGTGGAATTTGTGGGCCGGGGGCCAAAAATTGTGTGGATGAAGCAGGATCCAGATGCCAGATCCAAGTATTTGAACCACTGTTGTGCCAGGATGCACTGATGTCCACTGTCTGCACCTGCTGCCCAATTATGCCTCAGAATTAGGAGATTGGGGCCAAAATTTGGCTGGATCCAGCAGGATTGCGGTGCCAGATGCGGGTTTTTGTGTTGCTATTGCACCGTGGTGTGGGTTTCTTGGTGCAGTAGCAGCAGGTAAACTTGTTCTGTCTTGTGAAGTACCAATTTGGGGGACTGGGTACAAAAACCGGCAGGATCTGGCAGGATCCTGCAGGTAGATCCAGCTTTTACCTTTTTCCTGCAATCTGGCCAACAGCCTCATGAGTGAGCAGGAGCCATGTGACTGTGGCGAGCTGGGGTGTGTAGTTGCCTCCTGCTTCAGAGCTACCTGATCCGAATACTAAGCAGAGCTGCCGCCGGAGCTGTGCATGTAACACGCTGAGGAGACTGCAAAGGAAAGTGTCCGTTCCAGAGGCAGCTCGCAACATGGAGATTAAAGACCAAGGAGCGCAAATGGAGCCGCTGCTACCCACGGTAAGATGCTGCTTGCTGCAGTCTGCCGCAAACCCCGCCAAGCAAGCGGAGCCGCTGCTGGGGATGCGAGCGCATCGCGAGGCGCAGCGAGAGATGCTGCCCTGCCTGCTTCTGTCCGTGCCAAGGTCTCTTCTTCCTTCCCCGGGGCCGGGGAACCGAGGGGGCTGCAAAGCCCGCAGGCAGAAGGGGCTTTTCAAGGCATTTCCCCCCAATATGGATGTGGTTTGGGTCACAATGCGTGTGGTTTTCACTGAGTGAAAAAACGCGATGGTTTGCTCCGGGGCTGGGAGCAGCAGCCGGGCTTGCTGTGTGCGTCTCTCGGCTCCAGTACGTGCGGAGGCGCCTGCCTGCATTTCTGTAACGAGGGAAGGGGGTCCCCACTAGTCCTTCTCGCCATACTCCCGGGTGCTGGGGGTGGGCACAAGTTGGTTCTGCTGTGGAAAGGGGTCACCTGAGTGTGAGGATCCCCGTCATTCAAATACCGAAGGGTTCTCTTTGGAAGAGTCCCTGCCTCTCTCACAGAGGGTCTGTCTGGGTCCCTCTGTCACATTCACACTCCCCCCTCTGTTCCGTGGAGGTCCCTAGCCCCCCAACTTGTACAGAGGGACACTGTTTATCTGTGGGGCCCCTGTCACTTGTGCTCCTGTACAGGAGTGGTCAGTTGGTCTGTGGGGGGTCCCTGTCCCCCATGTATGTGTATATATGCACATACATGTGTGTGGTATATGGTCAGTTTGTCTGTTTGAGGGAGGGTCTCTGTCACACAGAGACATACACATTCCATCCCTCTGTCTATGGAGCAGGCTTTCACACCCAGAGGGTCTGTCTTTTTGTGGTGGCTGTGGTACAGGCAAGCACACAGAGGTTGTCTGGGTGTCTCTGTCCCATGCACGGACGGTCAGTCTGTGAGACTGCATGTCACACACTGAGGGTCAGTCTGCAGGGGTCCCTCTCATGCTCACTCACAGGGTCTGTTTCTAGACGCGCGTGCACTCTCTCTCTCTCTCTCCATGCACAATTAATATCAGTCCAGTGAGACTTTTTTAGCATGACAAGTTGTACAAATTTTGCCAAAGTGTAAAAGGGAGCTGGACCCTTCAGCTCTCTGTCAGAGGTGGATAACATCCATCCATCATAGTGTTTAACATTCAATCACCTGTGGCCAGTTGTTGCCAGTACCTATTCCTGATCATTTGGTGGGTTGCTACACAGGACAATGGCATCTCTGGCATCTCTCTCCTTTCTCCTAGGATCAGGCACAGGGTTTCCACACTGATGTTTGGATGAGAAGGCTCTTGCGATTCATGATAATTTTGAGGAAATACCTCTTGTTGCAGTTTCTTCTGTTTTAGACCTTGGCACAGAGACATTGGAGACATGATCTGTAAGTCTCTTCTCTGCCACATTGGTTGCTTTGGGCTATACTTTGTGTCCCCCAATTTTCACCTCGTTTGTGGTCACTGATTCAGTATTTGGTGAGAGACTGACATAGTTTTGTACATGTCACAAGAGTGAGATGGTTTGATGGTTCTGTGCAAGGGTCTGTAGCAGTCTAACTTGTTTATGTTTTTGATTTCTTCTTGCTAGTTGCTCTTATACTGGTTTAGGTGCTGATCTAGCATCTTGAATATATTTTGGGCTTGAGGTGGGGGTTGTTGGTTCCACTGATCAGAATTGCTGTCTCTGGGGAGTGACAGTGCATAGGGATGGATTGTGTTGCATTCAGGTTTAATTTTTGATCCTCAAGTAATTTTCAGTGGATGAAACTGCTGTGTTGGCTGAGAAGCTGAATATTCTTTCCTGTATGTTGATTAGCAGGGGGAATTGGCCCAGTTCTGTTCTGCAGCCCTAGTTACTGGAGTTTCTGTGCACACGGAGTACTTATTCACAGTTGTACAAACATAGGGTTTCTTTTATGGTTTTATCCCGATTAGATATTAAAGATGGGCCCTGGCTTTTCCTTCACATAGAAGAATGAGTTGGATTATGCTGTCAAATAGTTCTAGCAGCAGTTTTATTAGGTGGGGTCTCTGTGTGTGTCTGGAAGGTTGATTGTGTACTCTGCAAGGCTCTATCTGTATGATGGATGGACTCACACACGCTCTATTTCTGGGAGGTAAGAGAGGTAGCATTGTTTTCCTGCTGTAGCAGTGATGCGAAGGCACAGCTTCCCCAGTCTTGAAGCTAGTTGCCCTGCAATGCTCCTCTGCACAGGGCAACATGAACCATGGCAGTTCTTCTGCAGTACTCATCCCAGCTGGTGACTGGCCTCAGTGCCCGCCTGGCCCTAAAGGGCCTTTATGTGCTCTCGGCTCTGAGTGTGTGGGGTCCTTGTAGCAGAGGACTCTGGCCGGGCTTAGGTATCTGGAGTCAGTGTTACCTAGACTATAGTGTGAGGTAGGTGGTGGTATTTTTAAGAATGAATCTCCCCTGGTTTTTTTTTTTTTCTTTCCTGGGCTAATCCCCACCTCACACAGCTGTAAATAAATTCAGCTCCAGTTTAAACTGTGCAAGGACCCCAGTCCTGGAGCAAATACATTTTTATTTCAAAATATAATTTAAATTTGGTTTGGATTCAATTGGGTGTGAAGAAAAAGCTCCCAGCCCCCAAAGTTTGCTGGCTTCAAGTTACCATCAATACAGAACAAGAGCCAAAGTTCACCAGCGTCTGAGGTGGCATCTCTCAGTGAAACTTCAGCTCAGTATCTCATGCTGGGAAAAAAGTTGTTAGTCATGGCGAGAAGATGGCAAATGACAGTCCTATTTAATTTATATGTTCTAGTGCATTTAGCTATTGCAAAGGTCATAACCTAATTTGCTACAGAAATTCCACATTCAGCTTAACTATCAAAAGCGAATCTGTTTTCCTTGTTACCCTGAGACCTATCCGGTTATTATTTTAGGATGTGAGTTGATGTTTAAACAAGATCTCTTGCAGTTTGTAGAAGGTGATGAAATGTTTTGCTACCTGCTCTTCTGAGGAATTATATGGAAGTAGACTTCCTCTTCACCTTTTCCTTATTAGAGTCTCTTTTTTACTAACTCCTTTTGGAAAAGTTCCTCACCAGTAACAGCACTTCTCCCTGCACCAGGGGAGCCACTTTTCAGTGTGTTTTGCAAAATGAGGTGGTTGTGTGTACATTTCTTCATGGATTCCTAAGATATTTTAGTCTTTAAAAGCTGTTCTGGGAGAAGTAGAATTAAATTAAAAATGGAAAATCCGAACTAGAAACAATCTTTTCAAATTGCTGTTTTAGAAAGTGCAGATATGGCATTGCCACATTTTAGTATTCAACAGAGACTAATGGAATGGAATGTAAAATTAAAAAGGTCATAGAGGAGTTTTTAAACCAAGGGCTGGGGGAAAGCTGACAGGTTCAGAGGATCACGTGTTTGAGACAGAGGCATCTCTTAGGGGAGGATCTATTAACAGGGATTCTCTATATCCTAGTAAAGAGAAAAGGATAGACATTGATAAAGTACGGGTAAGAACTCAAGAGAAACTGTCAAATGAAAAAGAGTCCCTATTCAATTACATCACATAAAGGCAGACAACTAAATATTGACAAATTTTACAAGTGCTTGTATACAAATACTTGAAGTTTAAATACTAAGATGGGTAAACTAAGGTCCCAGGTATTAAATGAGGATATTGATACAATAGACATCACAGAAACTTGGAGGAATGACAATAATCAGTGGGACATGGTAAAACCAGGGTACAAAATTTATAGGAATGACAGAGTAGGTCAAGCTGGTGGAGGAGTGGCACTATATATGAAAGAAAGCATAGGGTCAAATACATTTAAAAATTTGAAATGAATCAAAATGTATCATGAAATCTCTATTGATAGAAATTCCACACTTGAATAATAAGAATATAGCAGTAGGAATATATTACTGACCACCTGACCGGATGATGATGGTGATTGTGAAAAGCTCAGGGAGATTTGAGAGGATGTAAAAATAGAAAACTCCATAATAATGGGGGATTTCAACTATTCCCATATTGACTGGATACATGTTACCTTAGGATGGGATACAGAGATAAATTTAATTATATTATGGTCACTATTACCAAGTGGTTCAGCTATACTCACCTCTTGGACCAGATCATGCGCCACTTAGGACTAAATTAAGAATTGCCTCTCCCCTTGTGGGTTCCATGACTAGAAGCAGTCATTAATGGTGTCTAGAAATTTTAATATTGTTCTGGGAGGGAAAATACCAAAGAAACCTACCACAGTAGTATTATAAGTGATCTCTCTCCTGCCATCCATCTCCACCCTCTGACAAACAGAGGCTAGGGACACCATTCCTTACCCATTCTGGCTAATAGCCATTAATGGGCTTAACCTCCATGAATTTCTCCAGTTCTCTTTTAAACCCTATTATATTCCTAGCCTTCACAATCTCCTCAGGCAAGGTGTTCCACAGGTTGACTGTGCGCTGAATGAAGAAGAACTTCTTTTTATTTGTTTTAAACCTGCTACCCATTAATTTCATTTGGTGGCCCCTAGTTCTTATATTATGGGAACAAGTAGACAGGCCAAAAAAGAATTTGAAGAACTACTAGCAAAAGACACAAAAACTAAAAACAAAAAAAATTAATTACTCAGAAGCGGGAAGATGCCAAACAAATAGTGGGGCCACTGGATGACTGAGGTGCTAAAGGAGTATTTAAGGAAGACAAGGCCATTGTGGAGAAGCTAAATGAATTCTGTGCATCTGTCTTCACTGCAGAGGATGTGAGAGAGATTCCCACATTTCAGCCATTTTGTTTAGGTGACAAATCTGAGGAACTGTTCCTGATTGATGTGTCAAATTTATAAATTAAACAGTAATAAGTGACAAGGACCAAATGGTATTCACCCAAGAGTTCTGAAGGAACTCAAATATGAAATTGAAAACAAGTGGGGGGGTCAGTGCTAACCAGCCAATTCAATTAAGGTGGAAGTGGGCTATTCTCAACATGTGCCAGCAATGCCCCTCTACCGTGT